AAGAAGTCAAAAAGGACATGACAGAGGATGAGGAAACTCAAGGAGACAAGACAAGACAGAAGAACAAATGGGCTGGACAAAAGAGGTAAATTCAACAAAACAGGACAGGAAAGATCAGAGGACAAATCTGAGGAGGACAGGATAAGAAGGAAGAAGACAAGTGAAGGAAAACATGATAGAACAGAACAAACCGGACAGGACAGAAGAAGACAAACCAGAAGACGAAAGGACAGGAAAGGAGATCTTAAATCAAAAAAGAGACAGAGACAGAGAGAAGCAGCATTTAAGACAGAAAAAAAGACAAATTCAACAAAAAGAGAAAAAACAGTAAGGGGCAGGACAGGAGAGTACAAAGCTAAATCCAACAAAAATTCAACAGAAGACAACAAAAGACAGAAAAAGACAAAATATTTGGTTGAGACAAGACAAAAGAAACAGGTGACTGAAAATGACAACACTGAGGGAAAGCAACAGGAACAGGACAGAGAGATGTGGAAGAGGACAAGACAGGAACAAGTAGACAAAACAAATGATGATGGAAAAGGACAAAAGAAGACAAACCCATAAAGGAGAAAGGAGAATAAAAATGAAGAAGACGTGACAGGAGCAATTAGTAAAAAGAGAGGGGGAGAGAATATAACACAACACGACAAATCCAAAGAGGACAAAACGAAGAAGCACAACAAGTACAGGCATGAAGTGCACAGCACCACACAACCACACACAGAAAAGTCAGATCAGTACAATACACCACAACACACTGTAACAGACAGTAAGACAGTGTAAGACAGTGTAAGACAGTGGCCAGCAACTTGTGTGATGACCTGCCAGCTAACAACACAACCTTTTAGCTTCTCTCTCTCTCTGTGATTCCTATAAAAAGTGCTTTTGTTTTTTTGTGTGTGTGCTTGTGTATGTGTGCGGAAAAAACAAAACATTGTAGTTGGCTTACACACACACACACACACACACACACACACACACACGCACACACACACACACACACTGCTCACCTGGAGGTGGTGGGTGGGAGTGGGAGGATGGGGTCTGTGTTTAGCTGTGGGCCCTGCAGACAGGGCGATCAAAGGCTCCTCAGTCTTTGTCTGCTAACGTTGAATAGACAATAGTAAAGAGGGCCTGCTTTGATTTCAGCTCACTTTTATTGATCACAGAAGAGAAGGGATTGAAATATGAGAGACAACCCTGAACTGGATTCTTCTTTAGCTATTGATTATATCCAGAACAGACGGCATTTCACAATGATCCAAGTTTTTATTTTATCCTCTTTTTTTTTTTTTTTTTTGAACTATGAAAAAGTGTGTCTGGCTCTTCGCCTGTCTTTCAGGTGCAGCTAGTAATACACTGACTACCGTTATTTTACCAGACAATGCCTCGTCTTAAGTCTCATTTTTAAGCTGCTTCTTAAAGTTGACGTCCAAAAGTTATCCAGGATATGCTGACAGCAGCCCCCACTCCCTGTGCGCTCTTTCATCCATCCTCTCCTCCCTCCTCAGCAACCTTTAAACCTGAGTTTTAAGGAGGACATTTTGTTTCCAGAATTTCAGAGGAGGTACAGTCAGTGTGCTCAGGGGGCAGGGGGGTCGGGTACAAGGGGTGGAGGGTTGGGCTGTTGCACAGAAAGGACCGTGGGAACAAGCAAACGCAGGATGGCCAGGTAGAACAACCCCCATCCCCCCCTCGCTTCCTCTTATAACACACGCTCATACAAAGTTCCTCTCCCCTGCATACAGGGCCTCAGCTCATCTCACGGCAGCTGTGTTTAAATCACTCCAGAGATGCAGACTGCACGGCCTAAATTTGAGACCAGCAATCAGTTTATTGTCCCGCTTTTTACTGTTATGAGGTGAGATGCAGCAACTGCCTATGAGCTCAAGTTGTGTGCAAGTGTGTGATGGTTTAAATTTAACTTGGCTGGTAATAAAAAAACGAGTCAGTTCTAGTACCATGGTAATTAGAGAGAAACTGCAGTATTACATGATGTTGCTTTAGTGTATGGGTTAACAACAACTACAATGTGATCGATTTAGACAGCAACTTTAATCAGTGAAGCTCTTTTTCAAGCTAAAGAACAAAGAATATTTTTAATGTTTATAATACATTTGAACTATCTTTTCATTTTTAACACCAGAAGAATCCTTTTCCTTATCTTAAGGAGCAGATGATCGTTTGTCATGATGTCTACTTTTCTTTATTTCATGGCAGAAATAAGAATTTTCTCTGACTGAGTCTGTGTGCAGCCGGCGAGGTCCCTTCATCTTTAAAAGTGACTCTTTAGGGCCTCTTTAAGTTGAGCTGACAGATGTGGTTATTTGGGGACAGCTCATTGGCAAGTTTATGGCCAGAGTGCTTATTTTACTAGAGCCGAGCACATGTGCCTGTGACAGTGAGGGAAATCCTTTCGGAAGTCTGGCATACGGTTGAAATAAAGGAGACTTAAGAGGACATAAAACCTGCCTGATGTTTATCACCAAAAAAATCTCAGAGTTTTGTCCAAGAACACAAGATGATAAAGTTTCACTGAAACATCATTCAGGGAAAAATAAAACCTGGTTTTAATCCAGCATGCTGTCAACAGGATCTTAGGATTTGATTTGCACTTAAATGTTTAGATGATCAAATTTAAATTATGGAAATTAATTCCAAAATTAATTAAATTACAGTCGCAAATGGATTGTATGGATTTCACAGGGAGCTGAGTGCTGTTATCGATGCAGTGACAATTTTTCAGAAAACGAAAGCAAATAAATTGATGAAGCCATATAAAAATTATAATATTAAGTAAAATGTTATTATCTTCATGTTGTTGTGACCACGTGTGTTAATGTCATAATTTGCACATGAGGAAGTGAACAACTGTGTATAGTGGTATCCCAGCACCAAATACTCATAGTGTTTCAGCACCATTATATTCTTTCTTTCAATATGTAGAAATACACATTTACATACTGTGCATACTCTCTCTCGCTCTCTCTCTCTCCCACACACACACACACACACACACACACACACACACACACACACACACACACACACACACACACACACACACACACACAAACACTCCAGAGCAGACCTAACATCTTTCTCTATTTAAAGGCTGTAGTCTGGTCAACACAGAGGGGGGAGGAGGTTGGATGACAGTCTCACATAGGAAGTAAAAACGTGTGTGTGTGTGTGTGTGTGTGTGTGTGTGTGTTGGGCAAGGCTGTCCACATCTGACACACCCCCAGCCACCTGTAAAGCCTCGCTCTGAGGATCAGGTTTCTTTTGAACACGTTTAAGACAGCATTTGTTTCCAATAGTTTACAGTTTGTGAAAACGCCCGTTCCGGAAGGCTGGACCGATGCTTCCCAGTTTAGTTTTGCGGGGCGGTGTTTTATAAACCTCCTGTAGGGCTGCTGGACGGACGAGGGAGAAGCAGTGCGTGCCTTTTAAGAGCCCCTGACGGGTTTAGTGAGCCACTTTGCTTTTTATTTTGGCTCTGCTCACTGCAGGCTGCTTGTACTTTACTGTGCCCCCTCTGTGCTGGCCTGGTGGTTGCAGATTAAGGACATGCAGAGCAAGAGTCACTCATTACACCAGTGTTTTGTGTGTGTACACATGCTTATTATGTGTGGTGTTTACTGTGTGTGTGCCTGCCTTCACATATGTTAGTGTGTCAGGAACAGTGCTGATGAGTGACGCCAGTTGCGGCCTGCTGGGTGTAGCTTCCAACTGATAAATGACTGCAGGGACCGTCTTTCTCTACCTGAACCTCACAGCGTTTTCCCCGGAGAGCAGCCGCTGACAAATATTCTAACCTGAAAACCGAGCAGGCCTACAAGACAACTGTTTCATTCTAAATATGAGTTTAACCTGTTTAAAGTTACTCAAGTTCAAACAATAGCAGCTTTCAAATGATGAACAGGACTGTGCTGCTGTTCCCGCTTGTGTTTGGAGACTGTCCCTGGTGATTCTTCTCTCCCAGCAAACTAATATGTTTGATGCTCAGGCTGCCATTGCCAAGCATGCGCCACAAGCTATTTCAAATGTGCAAAAAAATATTGATATTCCAGGCTTCTAAAAACAAAACAAACAAACGAAAAAAAAAAAATCCAAGTCAATGTCCTCTGGAATGGCCCCATTTTTATGCCTCAGAACACGCAGATCACCTGGGACAAATGATGAGCTGAGAGAATATATCTGCTGTTTCTTTCACACTCCTCCTTTAATCTACACATAAACACACAAACATACCCGCTGTTTATAAAGTAACTTAAAAATCATCATGTCTTTCAGTTCAAACCCTATTTAGAGAATGGGTGCAGGCCTTTGTTTTTTTCTGTAATCTTGTCCTCAAGAAGTTCAAGTGTGAGCAAGCCACAAATATGCCAGTCATTCTGCAGCAGAGTTTGGTTTCACATTTAGATTTCTAAGCATGTTGGTTGTTATCTAAACTAATCAGTGCAGAAACTTGAACGCGCATTTTCCCATGTGAAATCTAACAGTTTTTCATTTGCACTGACATATTTAAGTGTATGCTCTTTGGGAAAAAATGAGGTTGGATAAATCAAAAAAAGCCATGTTTATTTTTCATTGTGTTACTGATATAAAGCTAAATGCATGCAAGAGGCCAAATGATTTGAGTAGACATTTCACAAAGCTCCTCTATGCTACAGCGTAAATTATATAAATACAGTATTTTAAAAGGACTCAGCAGTGGAAGAAAACTGCAGTGAGGACGTTTCACCACAAGATGGACTTAGGTATGCATGGATTTGGGATGTATAGTAAGGGAACCGGGAAAAAAAATCTGCATGCTGCCTAACTTTTTTTCAAAAAATATTTTTTATCATTACACCCAAAATGTAGAGCCAGTTTTATCTCTATACTTTCAAGCAGAAGAGTCCCTGAGGGTGGGGCCATACATGCTGGGAAGCGCCAAACAACTTATGTATTAATTCCAGATATTTACTTTTGTTTGTTTTCACTGTGTTCAGGGCTCCATGGGAGCAATTTTTGCTGTGATGAAACTGAACAGCAGTCCCTGCGGAGTTCATTACAGGGAGAGAGCCAGTGAACACCCCCACTGCTCCCCGGCCAAGAGGGATTTAGAGGACCCAGAGGGACAGCTTAGTTTGGTGGGTGGAGTGGAGGGAACGTACAAAATGGAGTGAGGGTGTGGCGGGAGGGGGCTACTCAGGGGACACAAGGAGGAAAGAGACCATAAACACTCAACTAATGACCTCAAACACACTAACAACACAGCAGAAATTAATGAAACGGCACAAATGAAGAAATTCATTTCTGGAGCAAATGTTTTCTTTGTTTAGTCTCTGAGAAAAAAGAAAGAAAAGAGAGTGTGTGTTTCTTGTGAAGGTACTGCAGCTTCTTGTGCGTTTTCAAGTACAAGCTGGTACTGGTACAAGCTTTAGTTTTACAGTAAGCCTAATGAGTCAGCGAAAAAAAAGGGAACAGTAAAATATTTGCCTGTTGTATGTTTCAGTGTCTCAAATCTAACGTCCTTGCTATTGAAACCCAGAGTAATCCTGTCTTAGAAAAAAAATCCAAGTACAAGAAGAATTCTGTTCTGGAAGTGTGTAAAAGACGACAAAATATCTCTTTAATCCGTCTGTTAAAGTGAAATCAAACAGTGTCCAGCTGTGCACAGAACATGTGTCTAAAAGTCTCATATACTAAACACTTCTACTGAACACAGTTAAACGTAAGTAGACAAAATGATTCATTAGGCTGAAACATGAGGAATAAAACATTACATTACATTGCATCTTCCTCTCATTGCACAAATGAATTACTATTTTGAGGCAAAGTTATAATGATTTTAATTTATTAATTTTTCTTTTAACATCTAAAGAGGAAAGAGGAAATACAACTTCTTCTTTTTTATGGCCTGGACATATCTGCTCTGGGTCCCCACTCAAATATACATATGCACCCAGCTCCTGGAGATGGCAGGTCTCTTTAGTCTCAGGATGCTGCTGCTCTGGGCTGGGCTCATTGGTTTGGCTAACTGTAAGTAAACCTTTATTATTTCATTTATTTTAAAATCACTCCTGCAATAATAATTTCGTATTCTTTTAAGGTGTTATGAATAAAATATATTATTATTTGCATTATACATTGTGAATTGAGTGAATTTTTTCTAATTCTAATTTTCATTTTTTAAACGAATAATCCACGCTATGATTACATGCATATTTACAGTATCTAGATTACTCTCTTTGTAAAGCACACAACAGAGATCTCCACGGGTTAAACGGGCATAAAAACCAATCAGGTCCGTGGCTCATGTGTGAAACACAGCTATGAAACTTTATTTGATGAAATAGCTTTACAGAATAATTGTTTTAAATCAGATCTAATACTCTGACAAATGCTACTATATTTGCACAGACACGTTCTCTATCTAATTAAACATAAAATCTGCTGAGGCAAAATGATCGGTATAAAGTAGGGGCAAAAATGGCCCTCTCGGAAAGCACAATGTGAAAGGTTCAGGTTTTTTTTTTTTTTAAAGTATATTTTTTGGGGTTTTATGCCTTTATTGATAGTGCAGTAGAGAGAGACAGGAAATGGGAAGGCAGAGAGAGAGGGGGAATGACATGTTAAGTGTAATAAAGCATATTATGTCTGAAGTCAGTGTAAATATTCTTTCTGTATTAAACCAAAAGTAGCTACTGTACCTTTATAACCAAAAATGACATCATCAATGCTGCAATGTGTTTAAGCATTTTAACATTACCATAAGTTTTAGACTGTTTTCTCTTTTGCAATTCCAAGTCAAGACCAAACAGTTGACTAGCGCAAAGAAGTTAATAATAATTATGATGTTTCATTCAAATTATGCTATCACCTGTTCCATAAATTGTCCTATATTTACATATCTTCAACTCCTACGGGCAGAAATATGTGTAACTAGAAACTGAATTTGAATCATTCATTTTTTAATTGAATTGCTCAACTTGAATAATTGCATTAAAAAGCTGAATTTGAATCACATAATTTGAGATAGTTTGGTTGGATTTGAATAATTGCATTGAAAAACTGAGTGTGAATAGCATAATTTGAAATTGGATAGATTAGCTTGGAACTGAATTCCAGTAAACTTAAAATTAAAAGCTAATGTAAATGAATAAAGTTGAATTAATTTGTTCTGAAACTGTATTTTATCCTCAGTGGAAATACTTCCACATTCAGTTCTCACAAATGAATTTCAGTTATTGCAATTTAATTAAATTTTTTAGTAATTATATCAGTATCCAATGTTTGTATTTCTTTTAGTAGTAGTTAGTATAAAGGATAAAGAGCAACAAAGTCCACGTCAGTAAGAGGTTGATTTGGATGGATGAATGGCTCAACAAAGCAAAGGAACTAAGACAGGTCATTCCAGCACTCTACCACTCTACCACACTCAGATGAAACTGGTCGCTTTCCTCTTTTTGACCTGATAAAGCTTTGGCCCTGCAGGAAGAGTTTTATTGGCCAGATGGCAGTGGATGTTTTAATAAACCCTAACATGAAGAATTCACTGTTTGTTGATGTCACTTGCCTTCTTTCCCCTTACATTCATATACAGTATAAACTATTATGATAAAAAAGATGCATTGATGATTTACTTTTTTTTTCTCTCTTTTTGTAATTCCAGGTCAAAGTGCAACAGGTGAGTGGCAAAACATACATTACCTAACATATAGCATTTTAATTTTACTATCATGAATAAAATGTTTATTTCTAATTATGTCACAAGCAGTGCTGTACCTTCACCTCATCCTCCCACTACCTTATTCTTTATGCTGTCTCATCTCTCCATAGCCACAGCAGCAAGGAGTGACAGAAATATCTATTCTCACTCTTATTCAACAGTTCGATTGACATCTCCATTTAATTAAACTGTTTCAATCAAGGCTTTAATTGCAAACACAGAGAAAGAATTCCACAGTAAACTTAATAGCTTGATGAGTCACATGATATACATGTGAAAATGATGTTCATGTACCGCAACATTCCCTAACATGACGTTTGCCCACAGTTACCCTCAACTACACACCGTTGATTAACAAAACTATTTACAATTGTATTTCTTTCCAAAATTAGACCCACAAATCACAGGAAAATATTCCTGCCAAGGGGACATAGAGTTTATACATAATACATTTATTAAGTATATATAATGATTAACTGGTTACTTGCACACACATACACACAATGAACTGTATTTGCCTCCTGTGGTCTGAAGTGCCTGCAAAGTGGAGTCTGAGCTAAGAACGCAGCCGACTCTTCTGGCTATGTGATTTGCTTCCTTTCTCTCAACAGCTTTCCAGGTTATACATCAAGTTGTATTGTTGTAACTTAGATGTGTTCCAATGGTATTTAGATGCATTCAACAATACTCATTTAGGGAAAATCTCTAGTTAACACATACGGGATCAGAATTGAAAAGAGCAGTAGTCCCATGGACTCGATGTTAGGGTTTAGATGAGTCAGGTTTTGCAAGGGCTTTGCCATCATTTGGAAACAAGTAAGTCACTGATTATCCAGCCAAGTTAAACATGAACCCTGATAATTTCTATTCATTGGGTTCACTTGCAAATATTAGTGACAAGAAAAAGAATCTATGTTTTTGAACATGACGTTGACTTGTTTCATGTGCTGTTCCAACTTATCCTGGGTTTGAAAGATTTAACTGCAACATTTATTCTCTACGAGAAAACACTAATACGAAAACTATGTTCTTGAATGTGAACGCAAATATACGAGAGTAGTCAGACTTGTCTTTCAATGTTCAACCACTCTGGTTTATTTATAAATAATTTATGTTTTCTATTGTTTAGTCAATGATTAGTTTATATATTGACTCAAATTTACTCTGTGAAGAAACGAAGACAGGTCATCCCAGCACTCTACCACTGTTGCCATACTCCTGATGAGGTTGGCAACCTTTAGATAATCTTGCAGTGTTTTTCCAAAGAGAGACAGCCTTCAGTCAAAAAACAGGAAATATTTGAACTCACAACTAATGCTCAACCTGATTAGTTTCCACTAGCTGTTGAGGCCTACTGAACCCATGCAGCTGAACACTGCCTTACTTCCTCTAAGTACAGATCTCCTCTTCCCCAGTGCTATCATTTTTTTATCACTCCTTTTCCTTTTTGCTTTTGAAAACAGATGTGTAGTAGATGTAAATGAGGAGAAGGAAAAATAAGTAGCAACACTACCTTTATCACAAGAGGAAGCAGGATTTATGATGTTATAGGAACTAGTATTGTGATACCGTGTTTGCCCTGATTTATTTTTTTTCTTGGAACGCAGATGTTTCATCCAGCTCACCTCCACGCATACCTTCAGTAAACAACGAATCTGTCACCTCCTCACCTCCACACACCATGACATCAGGCACCCAAACAACCGACCTCAAACCTCCACTCACCTTGCCAACCCCTAACTCACTCCCCTCAAATCAGACGTACAATTCAACTACCACGTCTGGTAATGTATTCAGCCTGTATACAGCCATGTTTGTGCTACATGATAAAATCCTGAAATGGTATAGTTAAGCATCATGTCAGGTAAGACTATTGGCAGTGAAGTATTTCTATCTGAAGATGACTTCCAGCATGCTCTCCCTCCTGCAGCCACTACTCCTACTCCCACACCCAAAACCAGCATCCAAGCAGTCTCTCAAAACCAGTCCTCACCTGCAGTCACCCTGCCCACCACCACAGTGCCTTCTACCACGCAAGGTTGGAATCTTCTCATTTATTATACAGGGGTATGATGAGATTGTCTTATTCATATGAGTGTAGACAGTGGACAATGGCATTAGCACGGCTGAGGTATGGGTTACTCGTCACTCAGAGATCAAAGGTACTTGCTGTACTTGCAAGATGCTTTGGAAAAGTGTTTCAAATGACTCATGTCGCATAATCATATATTAATGTTTCGTTTTACTCTTTTCTAATTTCCTTGAAATGCATCCTCTGACCTCCCCACCTGCAGCCTGTGAGTATCAGTTTGAAAGATAATCCAGTTTACAGTATGTTTTCAAACACTTGCAGTAATTATATTGGTATCCAGAGTCTGTGTTCCTCTTTTACTTTACAATGAATGTAGTGACAGTTTGTTTTTACAGTGTTTTACAGTATTACGCATAACTAACATATTTTCTTAACTCTGTTGATGTCTGCAGGTTCCTACACTGTAACACCCATCAAGTTTGGCTTCCAGATTGACATTAAAAGCTCTACCCCACGTAACTACACCATAAACATTAATGAAGAAGGCCGACCAGACACTGGAAAAAACATCACCGTCCATCAGTCCAGTCAAAGCTCATCACATGAAATCAAACACCTGAAGCCCTGCACTGAATATGAGCATTATGTGACACATCTTGATGGTGCTGGTGAAAAACACTGTAGCCACACTGAAGATAAAACTAAAACGACTGACATAAGTGAGTAAAAATAATTTATGTTGGTGTCATGCATTAATGAAGAAGGCCGACCAGGACACGTGGAAGACACATCCACCGTACCATCAGTCCAGTCAAAAGCTCATCACAGGAAATCAAACACCTGAAGCCCTGCACTGAATATGAGCATTATGTGACACATACATTGATGGTGCTTTTGGTGAAAAACACTGTAGCCACACTGAAAGATAAAAACTAAAACGACTGACATAAGTGAGTTAAAAATAATTTAATGTTGGTGTCATGAACTCGCTTTCTTTTAATTGAAGAAATTAGACTGTGTGTAAAATGGAGAGACATTTGATGCATCACTTGTGTATTTCAGGTAAAGATGACATTGAAAGCATGTCAGCTAGCAATCCCTGGCACTGTTTTGTTACCGGAGTGACTGGGACATCAGCTCTTTACTATCAACCACAAATGTCTGTGCGATGTGACAATAAAACATTCTGTGTCAAACTCGGTTACAATGACATTTGTTCAGATTTTACTACAAAGTTCACATCCAGAAAAGTGTCCGGACACTTCTTTTAGCCTCACCAAAAGCTTCATCCCTGTGGTATTATAAAAGAGTCTGCCTTTATTTGAAATGCATGTGCTTTAGATTTAAATTTCATCATTTTTAATCATTTTTTTTCCACAGATTTCTTAAACGCAAGTGAAATACAATCAGATTGTTTCCACTAAACTTCCAGTGAAAATAGAAACAAAATTACCTCCAAAACTGATAAAAATCTCTCTGCTTATTACACCTGCGGGGTAAGTGAAAAGGACTACTAAGTAAAAAGACATTGTGTGGTTACTAATATTATAAATGATTTACATGGAAATAAATAGAGATTGACTCTGCAATTCCCTGTTTTAATAAAACTTAAGATATATATTGAATTGCTCTGTCAGTGAAGGGGAAGGTGAAGTATTACTTTGTGCTCTCAGTGAATCAGTTCTTAAAAAAAGATTTTTTTATATTTTTTCTGAATGAGTCAAAATTCGATTTAATCTGAAAAGATGCTGCTACATGAGCTCTGCAGTATAAATACTAGTTGTTGAAGAAATGCTGTCATCCTCGTGTCTCCTCAGAGCAGTGGCGGTAGTCCACTGAGCCTAAGCTGGAGTCGAAGCTGGAGCGGAGCTGGAGCCCGTTTTACTGACTACAGCTGTAGTTGGTTCAGATCAAGGACAACGATGGTCACCATTAAAAACCACAACTGCTGTTTACGTCAGGATTGACTGGTGGTATGTTGAATGTTCACTTCACCTCAGTGCAATGAAAGCTTTTATCCTCAGATACTGTGGAGTGAAATTACTGTGTAGCCACCAGAACTCAAGTCTGTTACAGATGTCTGATGTTCCAAACAGATTTTAAACATAATCGCCACAAAGAACAGAGTAACCAATACGTCTATTGGCTTGAAGTGGAGCACAACCAGTGACAAGTGTCAAGAAGTCCTTCATGAGCTTGATTAAGCTTTCATACGACTGCAGCTGTGGTCCTACTCCCTCCCATCAGACACAACAGGAGTAAGTGAAAAATTATTCAGATTTAACTCTCTAATGTTTTTAATTCTTTTAACAGGAATTCATTTCTGAGAAGTTGTTGGAGATCCTTTTCTATTCAGTTATCTAAATAGTAAAATATACTGTGGAACATTTTGAGTCATTGTTGGAGCTACAGTCGCTCCATGCTAACCCTTCAGCATCCTGAGTGTTAGTAGGTGTTAAATAAGAAAAACACAGCTTTCACAAAATCAACATGAAATATGACACAGAAATAACACTGTGATTGTTATTAAACCATGGAAACCAAAGGTTTTCAGTTTTCACATGTTTATTGGTCCCAGTCTGCTTTCCTACTAGCACATAATGTGGGACAATAGTTTTAGCTTGCAGGGCCAAAGCTGGTGATCTACCAATGATGCATTGATGATATTAACTGATTGATTAACATCCATTCTTCTTGTCACTTGAAGTGCAAAAAACAATCAGCTGTTTGATGTACACCCTTAATTTTTGTCTCTGTTGTGTTGCTATTTCAACAAAACAAACTAACAGCTTGTGAAAACTTTAACTCAACAGGTTAAAGCTAAACCATCAGGAGGAAACATGTCTTGTTCTGGACTGGAACCATTCACCACATAACACCTGTGGAGTCAAACCCATCTACAACAACAAGAGAAGATGCTAAACAAAACTCCAGTGACACAAGTGGACTGAGGCTGGAAGTAAAGTAACCAATGAAAAATGATCACAGCTGATTCTATGATCTAAAATCTATGACACAAGAAGAATATTGGACTATATTCACTGACAGTCTGTGCTGCACACTACATTTGAATAATTGAGTTACTCATGTGGCAGTAAGAGTATCTGTATGAAACACTTTCTTAATGGACCAAACAGCTTTGAAAACTGTTTCAGTATTTGGAGAAAACTGATCCCATGTGACGTACTGATGACTTAAAACACCTTGTTCAGGAATATTGGTCCCTACAATGAATATTTGAATTTGGAACTTCAACACAATATTTACTGATAATAATTATAATATTATTTATACTTTAATTAATTATATTTAATTATATTTGAAAATGAGTTTTTTGTATTACTCATTTATAAAACAATTAACAATTATAGATTTTCTTTCTGTTTGTCCTTTTTAATAAATGTTGCTGATCAGAGAGCAAATAATTCGCACAGACAAATACCAACATTCATTATGTAAAGAGAAAATGTATATCCATTACACACTCCAAACCAATTGACAGTGAAGATTTAAAAAGGTACCTTGCACTCTGTTATTCATCACTGTAAGTGGAAGAGCCCTGTTAGTGTGGAGCCAGAGTCTAAATTACTGGACTTCTTGGTTGTAAAATCTTTACCAAGTGGTACATGATCATTTAAAAAGACATCCATTGATTGATTAAATAACCATTCATGCTTTAAAGCATGTATTAAAAAACAACAATAGATAAGCATCAGCAAATTTGCCAAATAAATTGATTTCATTATGCCTGTCTTTACATAATGCACATTAAAAATATATACAACATCTAAAACATCCTTGAATGCACAAGACAACCAGAAATACAGCAACACTCTGATAATTAACAATAATATTGTTGATTAACTGTTAAAAACTGCTGTTAGAGCAAATTAAAATCACTTTAACGGTGACTATGCTTCTGAAGATAAGTGTGTTTTTCTTCATTTTCCTTACAGTACCAGACCGATATTAAAGACCTGGACGTCACAGCCAGAGCATAATGTGCTGATTATAGTAACCTGTATTCATTCAGGAAAATTTAAACGGTCCTTGAAGCAAACAGAGATACAGAGCCAGACTTCATCATGGTGGTGTCATTGTGAACCAGAACTTAAGAGAAAGAATGCAAGGTTTGAATTCAGGACCTGAGTTACTCTACGACCTAACACAGTGAAGGTTTGATGATCCTATTTTTTAGTTTCATTAGATATGATCACTTTACTCTTCATATTCTCCAGATTCTGTAGAACCTGGATGAAGGGAATTCTCTGTCATTCCAGGTCATTGCTTTCAACACCTAAATTGGAGAGCAGGCCCAAGACAAAAGGAAGTTTTACTTCTGTATGTACTGTTTGAAATTAACAAACACAAGCTGTTTCAATTTTGATATATTTGTTTTTCTGACATTCAGTACACACCACTTAATCTTCTCTACATTGTATCTTGAACACCACCCTGATATTCTTCTGTTATAACCATTATTTTACAGACAGTGACAAAGCTGTCATTGCGTTTTCTGCGTCTCCTCTCATCACCATCACATCTGTTTGTGTGTTCTCGCTGTCTGTGTTGGTCTACAAGATTTACATTAAGACGTGCAGAAAGTCCATGAAAGTAAAGATCTTTTTGTTTCTAATCTCCTTCAAAACGTTGACTGTTCACATTTGACAATTATTTTATTTCATTCAATTATCTTATCTAAAAAACAATATGTGCTTTAATTCATGATACCAGAGAGGTAGTTTTGAAGATGAACTATGTTGATTGTTCCATTCTGTATTTATATTCATATATAATGTAATTCTTTAAAGCCAGTCTTCACTATTTTCTCCACCAGTGATGTGAATGAAGATGTGATGCTTGAATCAACAGCAAGTGAGTCGACTTTAAGTTTTCATGGTCTTTCCTACATTTTCTTTACTATAGGCAACAAACAACAATCACATTTAGCAGCTACAAGCAATGACTGATGTTTTTAGCTGCTAATTATTTAGATCATTTCTTATCAATCCTGAATACTGTATTGAGATATTAAAAAATCTTCCAAAAGGATGGTTTTATTCTGATGAAAATTATAGTGATCAGCAGCTGTAACAAGACTTTGGTAAACATATAGTGTATTAGTATATTTTAGAAATATAATATTTAACAAACACTAACTTTCAGTATTTCCTGTTGGATTTTTGTTGTAGTTTATGTTAATGTACCCAACTCCTGGATGCATCATTAAAAAAACTTGCTGATGAAGAAAAGCCTGATGGAGCTGCAAATCCAAATCATTTACTCTTTACTCTGCCTGAGTTATCAAATGTTTATCAAAGTATGTAGTGAGTCTTTTGCAGTTAGGACAATTGATTTCCAAACTTTTAACGAACTTCTTGTTATTAAGCTAAAATCTCCATTACTATATTAGATGTAACTGTTTAAACTCTATGGTACTTTCTCACTTTGTTGCATTTAAAGAGTTTAACATGTTGCCTGTTGCTTTCACATGAATATTGTAACATGTTAGAAATGAACTTTTTTTTTATCGATGTTTCTAAGCCCCTTGAGAGCTTTGTAAAATAAATAAAGTTACACCAACTAAAATCCCAACCAACACACAAGTTGTTGCTGATCATTTTACTGACGACTCTCAGCTCCCAACCCTTCAACTTGCTCACGAGTAAAAAGCAAAGCTTAGATGTGAAGCAACCTTTGGATCTGGCTGGGATTCGCTCACATACTCACTCACTAACGCCACCTATAAAAGAGTAAAGTACAGCAGCAACAATTACGGCCCATGATCATGTTAAAGGTACAGTTTTTTCTTCCATTTTTCAAAAATATTAAACAAACACACCCACCAAAAAACAGCCAGCTCATGTATAAATTGCAGCCGCTATTACTTAACCATGTCTACTACTGTGTGAGTTCAGATCCTCTGAAGCTTGTCTAAATTCCATTGACTCCTCCAAATGTAGCAGCCGCCTGTTTCCTGAATGAAGAAACACACTCAGGCCTTTGTTTTCCTCTGATATCCTTAATCTATCTATCAGTTGGTTTAGTCAATCATCATCAATATTATTCTTATTGCTTCAATATATCAGTTAGTTTGTGCTCAAACATTGGCTTTTGAAAACTAAACCACTGCACTAATCATGTTCTGTAATCCTCACATACCAAACACTTCTACTGAAAAACAGCAATTACAACAGCATGCACACTGCATATCAACAGACTGACTATCAGGGACTATCAAAAGAGCAATAAAGTAAAAAAAAAGATATTGAGGTCAGATAACAGAGGACTTTCCTTTGCACAGATGCATCACAGAAATGAAGCTTCCTGCCCACCAACATAAAGGTAAATTCTGGGTGTGATATCACTCTTGCCTCACTTAACTGGAAACCAGAGTTGCAGGTTTAAAGTTTGAACAAGTCAAGACGCTGCAGTCAACAACATTAAAACATACAGCTTCTTTAGGGAGTGTGAATTTCTGCCCATTGGACCGATACTGTATGGGTGTGTGGCCGCACCACACCCCAACTCCTGGTAAATGGCAGGGCTCTGTGTTCTCAAGATCCTGCTGCTCTGGGAACCGGGGATCATCAGTTTGGCCAATTGTGAGTAACTATCTTCAATGTTTAATTTAATGGGCATCTTCATAAAGAGAGTGTGGAGCCAAGAATGTGTGTTTCTAACACAAGTCTTTTCTATCCGTCACCCTCAGAATTCAAGATAGATTTTTTGTGACATAAAACATGGAAGCGCTGGAGGTGATGAAGTCCCGTATCCTATACTGTATTTGTGCAAGAAGAAAAATAAAATCAGACTGTTACCACTCAACTCCACTGAAAAAAAAAGAAATTACAAGTGAACTAACCTCTGAACCGTCATAATAATCCTCTACTGAGGTCTTATGTGTGTGCGTTTTTTATTTATTATATTCATGCTAAAAAATCACACAACAAACTAATAATACAAGTATATAATAATAACATAACAATAATAATGATTTTCAACGATAATATTAGATGATAATCAAACATTTGTTTGATATACAAAGCCAGAGTTGCACGTTTTTATCAAGAGTAAGCAGATGTGATGATATCTTGAAGGAATATGGTTCTTTTCTTATTTTGTTACAGCACCAGATGATATGGGGACTAAACTGAAGACCGACTGGCTCCAGCAGCCGCATGTGATTTATAGTGAGCTGTGAATATTCAGGCGCTTTAATGGGACCTGACGGTGATGTATAATCACACTAACATCGTTATGCTTGGTGATACTCCTGCATGTTACGTATGAAAACCCAAGTGCGTTTGAATTCAAAAGATCTGACGTACTATGAGATAATTCGCCTTGATAAAAAAGGTATCCTTTCTGTCTTTGCTCAGTCCAGCGTAGACTGCTTTCCAGAATGAACACTTTGAGGGCACGAAGGTTCCAAGACCATATGATGGTTGGCTACTCACTGTATGTGCTGTTAATTTCAGCAGAAATTGCACTTCATTTGAAAAAATCACTTTTCAAACAAATCTTATTCTGACAATAAGTCCGCATCTGCATTGTCTTATATCTGTGTATTCCATACTGTTTTCTTTCTGCATAACACTCGATCTTTGCAGATCATGACAAAAGCGTCATTGCAGTTTTACTTGCAGTTAGCTCATCGTGCCTCACGACCTGGTGGCAATACTTGTGGGATGATCGACAAGCATAATACTGTTCTTAACCAGCTGTTCCTGAAGCACGCAGAAAGTCTCGTAAGCGAACAACTTTGCATCTAATTCCTGCTTGTAAATAAAGACAGAAAACAAGTTAAGCAGTGGATACAGATTGTTTATTGAAATCATGTCCTCAAATCTACTTGGTAAAGGCTGTTTGACGTTGTGTTATTCCACGTGTATTTTCACTCATCCAATTTAAAGTGTTTTCAAGTAACTTTAGATTTCATCCACAGTGACCGGTGAATGAAAAACGCGAGAGTGTCGAATTGCGTGTTACAAGCGGCGAGCAAGATAATTGCTCCTTTGCGTTTTCTGTTTCTTACACTGTGTAGTGCCTTTCTTGAAAATTGAATGAACTGAAGCCAACATTCATGTCACCTTAGTTCCTTCTTCTGTATTTGCTACATGCTTTGTTTCCTGTGGGCACAATGTAAATTAAATTTCCCTTGAATTCAAATAAATATAATCAGATCAATCAATCCATCAAAATCAAAATCTTCGCTATTCTCTGGCCTAACCACATGTATGTAATTCTCTAATCTGCAAAAGAGTCTAACCTGCACTACTTTATGTCGGGGTGATTGGAACAGATGGTTAGATAGTTCTTCAGACGCATGCTTAACCACAGCTAAAAGCATGCATTGCAACGCTGCACGAAATCTGTCTAGACTGATTTTTGAGGCTGTATTATACTGACATTGATGATATTAGACTGAACAGTCAGGTGCAAAATGAAGCAGCGTAAATATTGCGACAAAAGAAAAAAATACTTGCAGGTCTGCCATTTGGCAGCAGAGTGTGAGCGTTTAGAAATGAGTTACGAAAATAAAATAAGGCACCCTTTATGAAATTCGCGTTGTCACTTTCTTGATATATGTCATTCAGCACATATGTGCACGTTTCAAAACTGAAGCTGTTGTTAATGTCCTGGTCTCTATACACAACAGGACTAGAACAGCAGGTTTTAGCTGCTTCACTCAATAACAATGGTGCATATTCTTGTGGTTATTGTTAGTGTATTTTTACTGTAAAAACAATTACGCGAGCAATGGCCTGTATGCTAATGTATAATCAAATCCAGTGTTTGATTGGATGGGATTTATGGAAAATCCAAATTAAAAAGCTGGTATGATTCCAAGCATGCACTCTAAAGATAGATATAAAAGAAAGCTCAGTTGCACCAGTTACGATACATACATACATATATACAAAAGAGCTGGGTTGATAAAGGGTTTTAAAACGTGACATGAAATGTATTTCATTGTCTATATTTTTTTTCTCAAAAACCCACACTTTAATTCATATGGTCAAAAATTAATGAAAAGAAATTCAGAGATGACTCCTTTTGTTCTAAAACAGATGAGAGAATTTAATATGAAAAAGTCTTTACGTATTAGTAGGTTAGTGTAATAAAATAAGAGTGGGTTAGAACTGATTTTAAATATTTAAATTGATGAGATATTGAAGTTCTTGTTCTCATGAATTCATACCAGCAGGTGAGGTTTAGGTGTGGTGAAACACAAGTCAGAAGCTGTGACATGATTGAGATACAAACAATGTATATGATTCTTAAATTTTGCATCAGTTCTGCGACGTATCAATAAAAAAGAGGAAAGTATTTAATGTGACTATCGTCTATGGTTCCCCACCACAACGAATCTTATTTCACAAATACTGCTAACTCCTGGACGTGACTAGGTCTCAGGACCTCAAGACTTTGCTTGCTTTAGGTGGGATCATATGCTAAGAAGATATGTTCATAATTGTCATTTTTCAATTAATTTGATATTATACATTATCAATGCACGTTTTTATATAATTGTTACCCAATGATAATTACTTCAGGTCAAATCACTACAACTTGCTGGCAAAGGATTACAGGTAGGTGAAATGAAATTTATGCATTACTATATCGTATATGTGTTTTGCAACAGTCATTACCATCATTTTTATCCTATAAAAACATGTTATTTTTTTGGAATGTTTTTCTAATCTCTTGAAAACTGTATTTAATTTTAGCTTCCTTCACTCTAGAGTGTAAGTTGCTGTTGTCCTTTGTGTTCTTTATGTTGTTTTATTTGTTTGATTGTTTGTTTTTTGGATAAATATATTTTCATTACACATCATACATTTTACTGTATTGCTTTACAACACTGAAGATGTGGATTTCATGGGGATCACATTAAGGACTTTTTCTTTTTATGTAGTATAGTATGTTATAGATATAGTATAGTATAGTATGTATAGTATCGTGTAAGTATGTATAGATATAAGCAATAGCATAGCATTCGTAGAACATTGCATTAGAATATTATGTATGTGTATTACTATACAGCATAGTAAAGTCATGTATAATATAATATATTATAGTCATAGCATAGCAATAGTATACCATTAGTATAGTTATGAATACAACATAGTACAGTATAGTACATTATACTTATAGTATAGATAATAGTAGTAATATAGCATAGTAGTAGTATAAGCTGATACTATTGATTATACTATACTATACTGAAGTACAGTTTAGTAATGCCTAGCATAGTTAAAACTATAGTATGGGCAATTATAGTATAGATTAGTATAGAATAGTAAGTAATCATACCATATCATAGTATAGTATAGTATAGTATAGTATAGTTTCTTTTAACTCTGCTTTGATGTCTGCAGGTTCCTACACTGTAACACCATCAAAGTTTGTCCAGATTGACAAATTAAAAGCTCTACCCCTCGTAACTAACACCAATAAACTTATATGAAAGAAGGCCGACCAGACAACTGGAAAACACATTCACCGTCCAATCAGTCCAGTCAAAGCTCAATTCACATGAAAATCAAACACCTGAAGCCATGCACTGAATTATGAGCATTATTGTGACAACATCTTGATTGTGTGTGTGAAAAAACACTGTAGCCCACACTGAAGATAAAACTAAAACGACTGAACATAATGTGAGTAAAAAATAATTCTAATGTTGGGTGTCATGCACTGCTTTTCTTTCAATTGAAGAAATGAGGACTGGGTGTAAAATGGAAGAGACATTGTGCATCACGTTGGTGTATCAGGTAAAAGATGACATTGAAGATGTCAGCTGCCATCCGGACGTGTTTGTTACCGGAGTGACTTGGGACATCAGCTCTTTACTATACAACACAAAATGCTGTTGCGATGATGTGACAATAAAAACATTCTGTGTCAAACCTGGTTACAATTGACAATGTTGTTATCAGATTTTACTACAAAGTTCACACCCAGAAAAGTTGTTCCGACCACTTCTTTTAGCTCAACCAAAAGCTTCATCCCTGTTGGTATGGTATAAAAGAGGTCTGCCTCTAATTGAATGCATGTGTCATTTAGATTAATTTCATTCA